GACGAGCAGGCCCTGGCCCTGCAGCTCCAGAAGAAGCTGAAGGAGCTGCAGGTGAGAGGTTGGGGCTGCACCTGCTTGGGCTGGGCTGGGGAGTCTCCAGGGGGTTGGGTTGGAGTCTCGAGGTGGTTGGGTTGGAGTCTCCAGCTGGTTGGGTTGGAGCCTCCAGGTGGTTGGGTTGGGTTGATTTGAGTTGGGCTGAAGAGTTGAACCTTCAGCGCTTGAGTTGGGTTGGAGTCTCCACATGGTTGGATCGGGGTGAAGAGTGAGAGAGTCTCCAGCTGGTTGGGTTGGAGTCTCCAGGTGGTTGGGTTGGAGTCTCCCGGTGGTTGGGTTGGAGTCTCCAGCTGGTTGGGTTGGAGTCTCCAGGTGGTTGGGTTGGAGTCTCCAGCTGGTTGGGTTGGAGTCTCCAGGGGGTTGGGTTGGAGTCTCCAGGTGGTTGGGTTGGAGTCTCCCGGTGGTTGGGTTGGAGTCTCCAGCTGGTTGGGTTGGAGTCTTCAGCTGGTTGGGTTGGAGTCTCCAGTTGGTTGGGTTGGGTTGGTTTGAGTTGGGCTGAAGAGTTGAACCTTCAGCGCTTGAGTTGGGTTGGAGTCTCCACATGGTTGGATCGGGGTGAAGATTCTCCAGGTGATTGGGCTGAGTTGAAGACGCTCCACTTGGTTGGGTTGGCTTGGGTTGACTTGAAGGGTCTCCAGCTGGTTGGGTTGGGTCGAGTTGAGTTGAAGTGTCCCAAGTTGCTCAGGTTGGGTTGGAGAGTCTCCAGCTGGTTGGGTTGGGTGAAGTTGAGTTGAAGTGTCCCAAGCTGCTTGGGTTGGGTTGGAGAGTCTCCAGATGGTTGGATTAGGATGAAGATTCTCCAGGTGGTTGGGCTGAGTTGAAGACACTCCACTTGGTTGGGTTGGTTTGGGTTGACTTGAAGGGTCTCCAGCTGGTTGGGCTGAGTTGAAGACGTTCCACTTGGTTGGGTTGGTTTGGGTTGACTTGAAGGGTCTCCAGTTGGTTGGGTTGGGTCAAGTTGAGTTGAAGTGTCCCAAGCTGCTCGGGTTGGGTTGAAGAGCCTCCAGTTGTTGAGTTGAGTCAAGTTGAGTTGAAGCGTCTCAAGCTGCTCGGGTTGGGTTGAAGAGCCTCCAGTTGTCGAGTTGGGTTGAGTGGAGGGGTTGGGTGGGTCCCAACCACCTTTCCCACGTGTTGTAGGCACGGATCGAGGAGCTGGAGGAGGAGCTGGAGGCGGAGCGCACGGGCCGGGCCAAGGTGGAGAAGCAGCGCTCGGAGCTGTCGCGGGAGCTGGAGGAGCTCAGCGAGCGGCTGGAGGAGGCCGGAGGTGCCACCTCGGCCCAGCTGGAGCTCAACAAGAAGCGGGAGGCCGAGTTCCAGAAGCTGCGGCGGGACCTGGAGGAGGCCACGCTGCAGCACGAGGCCACGGCGGCCGCGCTCCGGAAGAAACAGGCCGACAGCGTGGCCGAGCTGGGAGAGCAGCTGGACAACCTGCAGCGCGTCAAGCAGAAGCTGGAGAAGGAGAAGAGCGAGCTCAAGCTGGAGCTGGACGACCTCAGCGCCAACGTGGAGCAGCTGATCAAGGCCAAGGTAGGACGAGGTCGAGGTGGAATCATGGGGTGGTTTGGGTGGGAGGGACCGTGAGGTTCGTCAGGTTCTATCGACCCCCGGCCTTGGACACTTCCAGGGATCC